TTCATCCCAACTGATGCCCTTCCTCCTGCATGCCGGAAAGGATCAAAGCACGGCCAATATGACCCAAGTGTTAGACTACAGCGTAGGGATCATTCCTGCTACTAGCGATCTGCGAGTTTAGTGCAAAACCGCATGATCGCACCTAGAACCTGGTGCGTTCCAGCCTGGGCTTCGCTTGCTCACTAATCGTACAGTTGCTTCGAACGTGGTGTGTGAAGGCAATGTATGGAACTGTAGTGAAATCGCTCTTAAAAAATTCAGTCTGGCAGTCAGAAGCCGATACTTCCACATTTTTTCTGAGTAGCATTCATGCGCTAAATTAGCTCAAAAGAGCAGTTCCGGTGTTCAAACATTAGAATGTTTTGTTTAGTTGCTTATGGAAATTAGCTTCGAATCTGTATTTTTATGCTGTGAAAAATTTTTAAAAAACCCTGGCTGTTGATTTGGCTGTTGCAATACATCATCCTGGTGAATCGCAGGTAACTGCTTTTTAAGGCAAAGTATAAGTCAAAAATTATGTTGCCAGTCATCTGTGTCTAGCAGAAACCGATTAGATGCCTTGGAAACGGATTTACCACTCTTCATTGTCTGCTGCATCCAGTCATGCTCAAACCTATTCTGTCAAAATAAATATTTCAGCTTGGTGGTAACAGTTAGCATTCTGGAAGCAATATCCATGGCAGTGGCAACGTGGGGCTGTCAAATATTAACACTTCTAAGTAAGGTCAGTTCAGCTGTATTTGATTAACACAGTAGCACGCACGAGTTTTTCGCGGCAAAATTACAGTTCAAAATCCCTCAACAATATGTTTTTTTTTTTGCACTTGCCTAATATGCAAAACGCATAAAAATTTATTGGGGATACGCATTTTTAACATTATTCGAAATCGAGACTTTAGCAAAATTTGCTGTTTGATGGCTGCAGTATTGGAATACAGTCTGAAAGCAACATACATGACAGTGCTACTGACCTCATTTGATCAAAAGATGACGCCACGGAAGGGTCTGGACTTGTCATTGTGCATCTACAGCCATTACAAAGCGTGGCTTGAGAAACAAAGTGAATGATAAAAAATATAACAAGGTGGCAACGCGTACCGCGGTTCCAGTGCAGTCATGTGTTTTTCCATATTTTGGAATTGTTATCTGACTAGACGAAACGATAGCACGTGTGAAAGCTGCATAAAGACAACATTCTCGTAAAATTTTCGACCGGCCCCTTCCTCCTCCAGAATCAGACAATATTCTCATAAAATTTACTTGCCTGAATGCCAAGAGTAGGATAACGGTAACAGTGCGATATGCTAAAAACGTGTTTAGGTGCAACCAATGAGCAAGTAAACAAACAAACAACCCAATAAACAAAAATACCAGGGAGGGGATGTGAGAATAACATTTGGGATGTCTGTGAGCAGGGCACATGCGTGCGTAGAACCTATTTTGCACTTGCAGGACTCACGTGAACAGCAAATATTCTCAGGAAAGTACTGCTTCCTGTTCAGTCTGTTTGCAGAGCTAATTGGATATGAGCATTGTACCAAATTAAACACTCACATGCGCGTGAGGGAGACTTATGAGTGCTTTAAAGCTGAAACTGAAATATTTAGGTCCCACACAGGCATAGAATACCCTCATAGCTTCTTAGCTGTTTCAGTTAGTGAAATCGTTTTTCACTACAAACATATTTGCGTGTCTGAACATTTCGACGTCTCCACCACAAGCAATGATTTATGTTTTTTTTTTAAGAAAAAGAGACACTCACTTACCCCACCTCGCCCGCCCCCTCCTCCTGTTTTTTCCAGCAAGTCATATGTGAGACTGATGCATCCCATAAGCTTTACTGGCTCTGAATCCATTATTCTGCTTACAGGAACAATTGAAGGACTATTGTTTTGGGACAATATTTCAACTGGTTAACACGACGCAAGTATTTTTCACACTGCAGAAATTAGTCTTTGATCTAATCGGCCAGTTCCACGGTTTTGGTAGTGAAGACGTCCTGAGTCATGTTTTCAAAGCATTCTGTAGGTATTATTATCTGTCAGGAGCAAATGTCGGAATCAAAAATTTTCAAGTGGAAATCGTCTGCACCAAAAAACAAACGTTCATGTTCAAATGTTGAACTTAATAGGACTACGCTAGTCAATGACCTTAAGTGAGCTAGTTATTCAGGTCTATGCAAACAAATTACCAAAAGTAATGATCCCCTTCTCATTCGCTCCCAATGAAAGAAGCAGGCACTCGGGAAGATAACCCGAGCGTCAACAAATGCCAACAACAACCACCACTAACAAAGCTGTCAATACTGCCAGGGGTTGCTTACAAGCAAGCTAACGAAGGTTTGACATCCTGATGTATGCCAGTACCCAATTCACCGTCGGGCGAATAGATAAATCGTGGTGAGACTGGTTGTTCCTATGGCGGACTCGAATCTTCGATCACTGCATTACCTCCCATTGCTCCATGACCGCTGGCACAAGCAAAATTTAAAAGGCAAAAAAAAAAGATTGTCACCGAACTATAATTTTTAGTTATATTTGCTGTTTTTTTTTCTGTTTCCGCTGAACGCATGGTGAAGGCCGTCGTGGTGCACCAGCCACATTGTCCTGAGCGGTGTTTGGTGCGAAATTTTGTTCTAATTAGTTGCTAGTAAGCTGGGAAACCTATACTGCTTCTCTAGGACAGGATTCCTGTTTGTGACAGCATACAGGCGATTCGTTCTCTGAACTACTGATGACCGCGGACTGGATAGATTTTGCGCGAATTCTGTGAAGCGCTGAACCGGTGTTGATTTGCTCTACATCTGAAGCATATGGATTGCACTTTTCAATACAGACTGTGTTTTTTGTGAGTTTATTTCAGTCTGGAACAATTTCCTGCTCTGTTTGGAAATGCTTTTGCTCAGCATTATGGCGTCAGTACTAGTTAGCCCGAAACGATGCGCACTGTTCGATATGCATCGGTACCAAAAGGATTACTGTGTACAAAATATATCTCCCGCAACAACCTGAAGCTGACCGCAACAACAACGATCAGGTTAAATTAAGGCACAAAATCGCTCGCTGCGCACTTCTGATCTCTTTCGGAGAACTGCAGTCAGTAGCGCAAATGAGATTCAGAACGCCATTATCACCCAAAAAATGCTCAAAACAAGTACATCGTCAAACCATCTTTCTTTGAGTTACAGCATTTTTCCAAAGCGTTGAAAAATGTAGAACAAATTAATAATTCCTTTCACAAGATTATTCAGCACATACGGACTGTTGAATGATTCTCCGTGCAAGTACTGTATGTATCATTATTTTGATTTTCATTCGTGAATCTATGGATGTGGTGATTAATTCTGGCATTTTTGTATAAAATAAAAGAAATTGGTCATAATTTTAAAGTACAGCTAGCAACTTCGAAAAACAACCTTCTGGATGGATTTAGATCACCATCTCGAGAGTGAGCAACCTATGTTGGAAAGCTGTAGCTTTTTAACATTTATTTTCAAACATATTTCAACTGTAAATGCCTATTCTCAAGTGCTTGCATAAAATAACATTTAAAAATCAAAATCAACAAAGGAACGACTTGTGCATACTGCAGTGTCATTCCACTTCGCTATAACATTGAATTCCTGGAACAAAAACTGTTGCACTCGATCCCACATTTTTCGTTCGCAGTAAATTCCCTGGAAGGAACAGAAGACTTGCCACTTAACGCATTCATGTCAGAAATAATGAGACAGTTTCAAAACGAAGACAAGTGATGGAAAAGGCGAAAAAGCAGGAAATGGAAGCTTGTCAAAACACGCACAAGGATTCACTGGCCAAAGTAATGTACGAAAATAGACTTGGGCTTATGAACACTTTAGTAGGCTCGATGAATTTGACTACAAGACTGCACGCATTTTATAAACAGGTCTGGGAATATTCTCGCCTGAAACTCTGACTTTGAAGTGCTACAAATTTTTGATTAAAACAACTGCTTAACCAAAACCTTTCAGATGTCACAGCTCAGCGCAATCATTCATTATTGCTGAAGAAGCAGCTGTATTACTTGATGAGTCGCTTTGTCAAGATAAAAAGGCTCGGTAGCATTCGGTAGTCGGCTGTGCAGTACCGCTCCGTGATTCATTGATACGATAACGTCATTCATCCCGTG